CTGTATGTAAACATATTTCAGCTGCTTCTCAAGACCATCAAGAGACCTGTCAAGTTTCTATTAACCAGAAATGTCCAGGAAGGGGGCAAAAAAAAAGAAAAGAAAAGAGGATGTCCATAATCAGGAAATTAAAGTTTTCTCCTTTTTCACAGAGATGGTTATATGTAAAAAGAGGCGGGGCTTTGATTGTATGGTTGCAACGACCATGTTGACTATTTTTTATTTCCTCCCATTAACTTAGAAGGGCTAGACGACCTCCAAGATCCCATCCAACTCTGTTATTCTATTAAGACAACAGCATGGATAAATTAGCCAAAAGGAAAGCGATTTTATGAAGGCATAATAATAAGAACTTAGCTAAATCTTATTTCAAACTAGCTGTTTTTGAAAAAGGCAAGGCATTGTTACATTGCTATCTTCTGTAAAATCTTTTAAAAACTAGATTTTAAATATTTTTATTTGGGACTCTTTATCTAATTTCACGCAGAACAAGAGACAGATCAATGGATGCCTGTACAAGAGGTACAGTGGTGGCGAACCTTTGGCACGCGTGGTGCCAGAGGTGGCACTCAGAGCCCTCTCTGTGGGCACGTGCACCGTTGCCCCAGTCCCGCCTCCCCTGCGGCCCCCTCCTCACCAGCAGCCCCCCCCAGGAGAGTCACCCGCAGGCACAGAGCAGCGCAAAGGACATGGCAGCTGGGCAGAGGGCGTGGCCACCATGGCGCTGCAGTGCTGCCTGGGTGATCTGCGGAGGGTGGTGGAGGCGGGTGGCCCTGTGGGTGGGTGGGGTTGGGGCAGGGCAGGGGCAGAGTGGGCAGGGGGCGGAGTGAGCCAGGGCCAGAGGGGCAGAGTGGTTTTTGGGCATTCGGTCTCTAAAAGGTTTGCCATCACTGGCATAGTACATAAGTATAGTTCCATTTTTCTTTACTCCATCAAATAGATTTGCTAGAAGTCATGTATGCATTTCTTATACCCACCCCCATTTATCACATGACAGTGATCATCTCTTTGTTTTCTTCCAAACTTAAATGTTTGCTTAGCTTCGAACTTACTTTGCACTAACAAAGAAGTGCAGAATAAGAATGGAATCAATCAAAGGGCAGTTAATCACAGAGGAGACTGTAAGGAGGCAGCTGGTCTAAGTAGTGAATTGTTTAGAAATCATAGTATTTTTAGAACAGCTTTTTTACGACAAAAAACAAAGGAAGATTTGAGCTGCCCTAGAAATTGTTACAACCTTCCTGGGATATGTATAGAGTTGGGAATATCACCAGACAAGATTAAGGACATTCTAATGTATTAAAATACTTGTATTTGTCTTGCAAGCAATTTGAGTTCTTCCTCACGGCCATATTAACAAACTATCTTCCAGTCCTTGAACTACCCAGAAAATACACTAATCTAAATTACCCTTCATTGACAGATGAGCCCTATTGTACTTATTGTCCTTCAGGCTAGCAAATGATTCTGTCCCTACAGTTTTCATGTGGGATACGTTAAGTGGAAGATTTTGCTTCTCCTCTCCTGGGGAGGGGGGCATAAATAATCTCTTTAGAATACTGTAGGGCAGGGGTAGGCAGGTGCCTGGGACGGAGTGTTTGATACCTTCTAGGATGCCTGACTGACACATTGCAAGCACAGAAGTGCTCCATGCCTGTGACCCTACTTGGGCTATTTTTGAACAAGGCTCTAGGACTCTAGACCCATGTTTAGAAATAATTTGAGTGATATGTGACAGGTGCAGAGAAGGTGCTTGGAAAACATCAGAGTAGCTCCTTCCTGCTTCACCCCATACTCTTCTCCCATGCCTGCAACCTGTCACTCAGTTGTGGAATGTAATGGGACAAAGTAATCAGTAAATGCTGCAAGGGAACAGCAATGCTGCTGACAAGTAGAAATAGCTTATTGAAGTTTAGGCAACATGGCATTATGCCAGCATAGAAATAGAAACAAGAAACAGCCATGCAAAACTCCTTATGATTAAACCTGTAATGCACTCATTGGTAATAGTAGAATATAGCTGGCAGAACCTGGCTCTCTTTGGTAGTTCAAATAATGTTCTAAGGCAACAGGGTCTATCAATATCTTTTAGCACTAAACTCGTACATAGAAATATGACTTTAAAACTGAAACAGCTAAATACAATCTTATTCTGTCTCTGCTGTGGATTGGGAATAAAACAAAGGCAAGAGCATGGAGAAATGTGATTTAAAAATGGCATGCGGGGCATTATAAATAAGGGGTGGTGAGAATGAGCTTTTTGGAGACTCTGAATTGATTCTAATAATGATGGCCACTGGCCCCTTCTATGCTCTTATGACAAGCATGTCACAAGTAGATATAGGAGGGGCGCTTGTTGGAGATGCAACTACAGTAGTAGGAACTCTTTGTGACTTTATCCTGTTGATACCAAAAGGAAAGGAACTCCCTCTTTGCTCCTCTCCTTCTCTCCTTTTAATTTCTCCTTATTAGAAAATTGATACTCATAGGCTCCCTTCATTCTGCTTCTGGATCCAACCCTCTCTTTGTCCTTTCACACTGCAACTCATCCCAAATCTATCCATTGTTGTTCAGACTGGTTTTCAACTTGTGTTTGGCATTTTTCTGATCATCATTGGATAGTCAGATTCCCTTTGAATACACTGACAAAAGATACTTGTGTAAAAAAAACACCAGAGAATTTTGACTAAGGACTAAACTCACCAATCTAGCCATCAATCTAGTCATCTAGTCAAAACTAACTTCTAGCCCAACAAATTCTTACTTTGGAATTTTCCATTATGCTAAACCCCTGGTTTACCTTATCTTGTCTAGCTTCTATAGATGAATTAGAAATATGTGGCCCAGGATTTTGACTTTTCCATTTTTTATTATCCTTACTCCTCCCTTTCTCTCTCTCTTTTTCTTTCACTTTTAGCTGATTCCATACTTGAAATTTCAACTAGGTAGTAAGGTATCTGTGACTCTTATATGTGTCTATCTAGTTTATCTGAATGGAAAATTTGCACCTACAGCAGAAGGAGACCTGATTCTGCCTGAGAGAAAGATGCCCTCAAGAGTTGGTTTACCATACTATACTAGGAAAGAAGATTGTGGAACAAGAATAATTCTGTCAAAATGGACAAATCTAGATGTAACAGCAAAACAAGCTAATTAATTGGTTTGGGAAATATGTAATGAATGAAAAATACAAAAATTCAAGTGAGTAAACACAGTTTGTAATCACAAATCAAAGAAGCAGGAGAGGTTCCTGGTTCTCTTTCCCCTTCCTCAACCATTGAATAAATGAAATGTAATCAACAACTCCAGCTGCTATGACAAGAAAATGAGACAATGGCATAGAAGACAAATTCCTGAATCAGTATCTAACCTGGACAAAACATACCCTTCTTGCTTTCCAGTACTGTAAATGTGATAACAAAGAATATGAAAAATAGAACAACCCAAGTGATTTCCTGACTTGTAATATTTCATCCTGAAGTACTACGTGTCTGAATGACCAGAAATAGTATAATTCACATTTTATACAAACAAGATTTTATTTATATGGCTACCCACTTGGCAACCAACTCTAGAGAACTAGTAAGTTAAACACGTTAGAAAACACATTAGCCATAACAAAGCTAAATATAAACATATACAGCACCAGAGGTTCACTTGTCCTTCTCTTGAATTATCCTGTGTGAATTGTCTGCAGCGAGTTGTCCTGCAATGAGTTGGCCACGGCGAGTTGTCCCATGATGAGTTAGCTGCACCAAGTCGACCAGGGCGAGTTGGCCATGTCAAGATGGACGGGTTGAGTCAGTCTCAGTGAGATGGCCATAATGAGTTGTCCCATTTCAATTATGTCTATCCACACAGTGTCCTTGTGCGGAAGATGACAATGTAGAATTAAAGAGTTGAAAGAGGCCATCAGGAATAACCCCTAGATTAACGTGACCACAATTTAGGAAGGTGTTGCCAGAAACTAGTGTTTACTTCCAGTTTCCAGCACATAGCAAACAATGGGTTTGCTTAACAACCATCACAAAAAAGGTCATAAAGTTGGGTCCAGTCACATCATAATCTAATTTATAACAGTCATGACTTAAGACGGGTGTCAAACTGCCGGCCCACAGGCCGGATGCATCATAGAGAAACCACGCCCACCCCATTGCCATCAATGGCAAAAAAGTTGTGATACATCACGTCACATGACATTACGAGTTTGACACCCCTCACTTAAGACCATGATTGCCAGAATCAACTATGGTTGTAAATCGAGGACTATACATGCAACATTTTCTGTTTTATCTCAAGCAGAAAAATGCCTTAGGCTAGTCCTTCTGAGGCCAGAAAAAGCAAACAAGGAAAGCTATTTGTTAATCTTTTATTAAACCTGAACTTTCTGCTTCTGGCAAACTATTAACAGAAGATCCCTTAAGGGACGCCAAAAGGAAAAAAAAATATTAAAAATTCCATAGGTTTTATTTTGGGTTCAGGGATTTAAACCATAGTCAGAAACAGAATGATCCAGTAGCTGTGAAGGAAGCAATGTCTAAGTAGGGTAGACAAATAAGTGCTTTGCTATGTTACCCAAAGAACCACAAAAAATATCAGAAGCAGAAATATGTTTGCATGATATTTAACTTTCCAGATATTAACAGGTGCAGAATTCTCAGGCCAGAGAAGCCTAAACAGAGCTGGCTGGAGAAAACAGAAGGGCAAGAAGCAGGTTATCAGTTTGTTGCTGTTTCTTAACTGAATTTACTATATATATTAACAGGAATCTGAAGAACACTGACAGAACAAAAGAGACTCAATAGTGAGGTACTGGAAGATTTTTCAGAAGACTAGAGAAAGGGGAGTGTTGCAACATTTATCTAAGTTTTGTTTATTTTGCTTGACTCTAACAACCCTTCTATTTAAGGTCAGCGATGGGCAGTTTTTTCCTAGTACAGCAGGCAATAGGTTGGTGTCGTGTTCGGCTGCCGGTTGTTGTGACTCAGAGATTGTGTACCATGTCTTCTCAAAGACATTGGATGTCTCCCCCTGCATCTCTACTACAGCCACTATCTGTCCCAGACAGGTTATTACTAGGACCCGGGCCTTCCAATTCTTCTCCACGGGTCTTATTTGCAAATAGCCGACAACTCATAGGACATCTACACAAAGAGTTGATTCAGGTAAGGACTGCACTTCCAACTTCTCCTAAGATCAGCAGGAATCCTCCATCAATTTCCACTCCCTGCTTTGTATCCTGAGATACCACACTGACAGATGTTTATTTACTTAATATTAAATTGATTTGTAATCTAATAAAGCTCACATGCTCTTAATTCCATTTTATTTATAGTATTAATTAAGCCAAAAACAAAAAAACCAACTAATGGCAAATGAAAAGCTGGAGTTTTTAAAATGAAATGTTTGATATTTAATTTTTCAGAGCTTTATTGAGAACATTCCATAGGCTTTTGTTTAATTTTGATATTCTAAGTAACAGTTTATAAATCTTCAAGGAAAACAGCTCTTTAAATCGATTCAACAGTTGCTGTTGAGATCTTCATTCTTCCATATGTCAGTGGAAAAAAAATACCCTTTTCAGTTCTATTGCCTGGAAAGGGTTAGTTTGTTCAAGGCAGTGCTCTCAGGCTTAATAGCAAGCATGCACAGTTCAGGTTAGAAATTTATAATCTCTCAGATAATCTGGATATGAGATTTTATGGATCACGCATTGTCGATATGTTTCGTATTGAAGTGTCCTGAAAACCCATGTAATCCTAAATCCTCAGACACCTTCTTCCATACCATAATTGCAACTTTGATTGAATTCTAACATTTGTCATTTACCCCTCATAGTAAAACAGAATTACTGCTTATTATAAAAAGAGAACAACCAGTAGACTATTTGATGAAAAGAAATACAGAGTGAAGAATAAGACTTAACATCTGGTTGCATCATTATACTGTACCTCAGCTTTTCTAGCTTCATTTTCTCTGGCCTCATCCTGGAACTTAGCTGCTGGATGGCCCAAGACTGGAGAAATTGATCAGCACAATTTCAGAATTCTTTCAACTTCTTTGTTCTGCACTATGTCTGATCTGATCAATGATCAGAAATCTGATCAATGATCATAAAAATTACAAAAACCTGTATCAGTAAAACAAGACTTAATCATGTTTGCATCATTGTTCATATCACTTTCATTGCAGCTACATAGGAGCACAAGCCCTAACCTTAAGGGAATATTTTAGGTTTTAAAGCAGCTGAACATAAAAACTATCTGTTCTGTCAGGATATAGGTGGAAGGGGAGAAAATATAACTTTTACCAAAATTCCTAGGTAACACAGTATAATTGTTGTAAGCCATCCAGAGTTGTGTTTTAAAATGGGAGGCCATATAAATCTTAGAGAGAAAATAGGCTGTATTGGTTCAATTTTCCCCAGATTCACACAGCACTAGAATGGAGAAAGTTGATGAAGGATTATTAATTTCAGAGACATTTTGACCACAGTTCTATTTCTTCTAGCTATTGGCTTTTTTCTTAAAACAAAGTATGTCTAAAACAAATAACTTTTAGTTGATAGAACAACATTAGTTAGTTTCTCCTATACATGTTACTCTCAGATGTAAATACATTAAACTACGATATCCCTGAGGGGGAAAAGTCTATTACTTCTTCTTTTTCTCAGATAATGGATGATATCAAGGTGGGAATCCAGTATATATTCCAGACACAGAATCCTCTCACACTGGCTATCAGTGGCACAGGCCACTGTGCAATGGAAGCCGCCTTCCTGAATTTGGTGGAACAGGGAGACAAAGTCTTAGTAGCGGTGAATGGATTTTGGGGAGAACGAGCAACTGACATCGCAAGCAGACTTGGTATGAACTTGGGAGCCTCTTGTTATATATTTAATAGCCAGCTTCTTTACTGCTAGATGCAAACTGACATTTCTTTCCTTTTCTACTGAACCATGTCACTTACTCTCACTGAAATGCCAACTGGCTGCATTTTACAGAACAACCATTATAGCAATTTAATCTTAAATCCCCTTTGACTTTGAGCATACTTCTAGTCACAGCCATCCTATGAAAAACCCTTCTGTGTCTCTGATGTGTACCATGATGTCAATTTATGTTTTTACAATTTCACTACACCCAACAAGTAGTTGCTGCATTTGTCCCATATAAATCATTCTGAGGGAAACATAAAAGATATGCATGAAGCTAAGCATTTCTTCATTAAAAGGCATGATTGTTATAAATAATTTATTCATTATTTTATTAATTTGTTAAAATCATTTATTTTTTATTTTTTGATTATTTTAATGGACTAGGTCAGGCATGTCAAACTGCTGGCCCGCAGGCCGGGTGGGTCACACAGAAACAGTGCCCACCCCATTGCTGGCAATGGGGAAAAAGGCGTGGTATGTTGCTCAACGTCATGTGACATCACGAGTTTGACGTACCTGGACTAGGTAATAACTTATTCAGTAAACCATGGTTAAAACAAATCATGGCTTACTATGTATGTATGGGCCCAAACAATTTCAGAATAATTAATAAGAGATTTATTGTGGCACAAAAATCCATAGACTAAAACAGTTTTCCTTAGTTTTGTCTTGTAGATACACTGGGCTACATCTGCTTTATAGTTGGGAAAAACTGGGATTAAAGATTATAGGGTGGCACACATGAAGCACAAACAGCAATACTGTATATAAAACAAAAACCAATCTCACAGAATTATCCAAGTATAATGAAATATAATTTACATTACACTTGGATAAGCCATAACACTTTCCAGGAGTACAAAGAATGAGAATTTTAATAACTTCATAATACCAGTAATAGGTATATTATTACATGGTTTTCTTGTAATGTATTAACCTAACTAGGTCCTAGTTCTCCTTTTGGAATAATCTGGATTTGGCAGGGTAAGGGTCAAACTGTCCAAAAGGCCATTCTTGTAGTTACCAGCTGCATGAACAACTTAAATGAGCTATTTAAAAAGTCCAGAACACAAACAAACCCGTATGTTGATGCAAAAGATAGGCTTAAATCATATTGTCCTTGTGGAGGTCCAGATCCATAGCCAATGCCAGTAGCTTCAAGAAAAACGTCCATTACCTTGAACTGGATCATTTCTTCTGATGAAGATCCACAAATGTAATAATCTGAACTAGCATCGTAGCAGAGGGCAAACAGTTAAATCCCTCCCCTATTCCATGCTAGGATCTTGATCAGTGATACCATTTGTTAAAATTCTTTAATACAATTATTTTTTTTAATCAAATTTTATTATTTTTAACAGAATTCAATAATAATCATTCAACAAAAATGTGTCATCTGAGTATCTTATTCACTAATACAAATTAAGTTCCTAATCCCTAAATATTTTCTCTAACCGTTGATAAAATAGGTTCCACATTTGAAAATATTATGTTTCTTCTTTTTCTTTCAACCTTAAAGTAAGTTTGTCCATTTCCGCACAGTCTAGTATTTTTTTATTATTTCTTCTTCTGGTGGTATTTCATCGTTCTTCCAATATTCTGCAAATATAATTCTTGCCGCTGTTATCACATGTAGAATCAAATATGTACTTTGCTTATCAAGTTTTTCTGGCATTATACCTAGTAAAAAAAATTCAGGTTTATAGTCTATGTGTTTCCCTAACATTTTTTCTAACCAAGTGTGATTATTGTCCAGTATTGCTGCTGATCAGCATACTTAACTCTGAAACAAAATGAAATAATAGTCTATTTTGGAAAAACTACATTACTGATTCAATCCTCTAATTGTGTGATTCAGCCTTTATGTGTAAGAACTTGAATTGGGTTAAAATTCCTGATGGAATAACATTAAGATTACTGTAAGACTCTTTGCCTTTTCTTAATTTAGAAAAAAGTCCTTTTGCTTTTTAAATAATCAGTGAGACATTTTAATAATTAATTCCCCCCCAACCCACGTATAATGATAGCATATGTTGGAAGGTCCCATGGAATCTAGCTGGACTTTGACAGGTCAGTGCTATGTGTTCAAGTTAATATATGACCCATAGCAAACAGTGACTCTAAAATAGTTGGTTGTGCTCTCCTACTGAGATGTGAAGTGACTATAGTCTCCTTGTTACTCAGGAATGCTAATCCAATCCAAATCCTTAATCTCAAAGGCTGAATCACACAATTAGTAGATTGAACCAGTAATACAATCTGGCTAGTCCAAATCACTGTAGCACAAGTTTGCAAGGTTTGGCGAGAAATATTTTGTGTTCATTTGTCACATTAGCATGCACATCTGAAGCTCACTGTTTAAGAAAAGGATTTTTACTTAAGAAAACCCAACCTCATTAACTTTGAATTTCTAAAGGGATATTAAGTAGACAATTTCTTTTATTTCAGTTCATAATAAAGTGAATTCCCATGAAATGAAGGGATTGTCAATACTTTATGTGATATCAAACACATATTTGTTTACTTTTTTCTGAGCGTTAATATTTTTCTGAAATTTTAAGAGCTGCTTCTTTCTTTGCTTTTAATTCCATATTATTATTATGCTTAAGAAACATATTATTTACTCCCTATAGGAGCTGAAGTACATCAATTGGTAAAGGCTCCTGGAGAATATTTTACTTTAGAAGAAATAGAAAGGGTGAGTTGTGGGCAAGTATCAAAAGTATATTTGGATGTACCAGGGACAACCCATAGAAATTCATCTTCCTACTTACTAGAAACATGCTATTGACTTGTTTTTGCTTTGCATGATTTTTTTTCTTTTTCTCTTGATGTGCCACTTAGGGCTTGATGCAGCATGCTCCCTTTTTATTTTTCATCACACATGGAGAATCTTCCACTGGAGTAGTTCAGCCACTGGATGGCCTGGGAGATCTCTGTCACAGGTCAGTGAAGGAAGAAAAGACAACACCATTGGTTTTAGAACTATAGCTGAAGAGGGACCTGGGAAGTACTGAAAATCTATTGCATATGTTTGTCATTCAATACAAAAGTATTTCAGCTAAATGCTTGGCTTTAACAATAAAATAAAAACAGAAATCATATTACAAATTAGACTACAGGGGAGTATAATAGTGACACTTATTGATTGGCTTGTAGGCTACTTCAAGGTAGCTTACATGTTAGAGAGTAAAATAGCAAAATTGTAGTAGTAAAAAAAGATGAGCCAAAGAAACAATAATACACACAGCACACAGTGCATATATTAATGTGCGGAAAAGATAATGCAACCATACACCAAATGAGATCATGATCGGATTTTTTTATGACTAGCAATTGTGCTTTTTAAAATTCAGCTTCTAAAACTGTTGGTCATAAAAACTGTACAATGATAATTTATGTTGTTATTGAATTTCAGTGAAGTGGTCTAAGGAGGAAAGGTGGCTTGTATGGGCACATCTGACATTTAAGATGTCCTTACTGTATATATAGTGCATCCCTATGCACTATATATGATTAATGAAGAATAACTCTGTTATTTGAGAAGCATAATAATAAAGTATCAGAAATACAGGGGTTTTGGGGTCCTTGGTGCTCTCTGAGGTTGGTTTTTTTCTTAAAGACATTTCATTACCAAACATCCAGGTAAACAAAATGACAAATGGACAAAATTTCACTTTTACAAGATTGTCTCAAATATATAGAAATAAGAACAGTTTTACTTTTAGCTACAAAATCTACAACAAACAGGCAGGCTATGATGAGGAAAGACAGATTCGGAGAATGCTTCGTTTTTCTCCTCCGTTTATTTTTTGTTACAAAATGCAACTGTTTGTTCAATTAGAAGTATACTTCTCAAAGTTGCTCAATTGTATAGAGGAAGAATATGGAAGTCTTGTACCTTTTCTTCTATGAGTAATAAAATAATCCTGGGAAAGTAATTTTCAGTCAACCCCTCCCCCCAGCCAACATTGCTCATGAGACAAGAGTTAACAGCTTTCCAATATTTAAGTACAAAGCACATCCAAAGGAAATCTGTTAAACATATAATTTAAATTCTACCAATCTTTATTAAAAGTCAGTGATAGTTACTTGATAGATCACCAATATGGCTCCTGCAGCATCACCAGCTGGCTACTATCAATCCAAATATTTAAAAATTAATGTTTTAATTTTTTTCAATTAAAATGGCTGAAATTCTACCAGATCTGAGTTTTCAAACTTTCATTTTTAAAAACATTGAAAACAATTCATTTTTTAAAACTGAAATCTGCAACATCATGTAAAATCGTATGATATTGATCGCTTTCTAGAAAAATAGTTGATCCTTGATACATTCTTTCATTGTTTTAGATATAATTGCTTGCTACTGGTAGATGCTGTGGCATCATTAGGTGGCACTCCAATACTTATGGACCAGCAAGGTGAGCAAGATACAGCAATCTGTCCTGGTAGCATGAACATTTGTTCCTATTCCATAGCATTAATTTCTGGATTTTTTCCCAATGTAGAACTGAATTTTACTTCAGAATTATTTGACCAATCCTTTTTAGTTAAATTTCATACTAGAAGATAAGTGTGAATTTGCTCAGAATATACTTTGGGCATGAACTCTTTTAATTGCAGAGTAACAATAGCAGAAAGAATTTAAAAAGAAATATTACAGGAGACAATTCTACTTTAAATTATAGCCATGGTATATGAAAAATCCCTGAAGATCCCCAAACTGTTTCCAAAGCTCTTCCATTTCCTAACCAGTCCTCTGCTCCTAATTGGGGAGCCACTGCCTAATAAGGCAAATAACCCCATTTCATGAGAAAGATGCCCACTTCATGAGGAAGTCCCACTGTTACCATGTGGTCCATAAGGCACTTTCCTGCAGCCACTGATATGTAGTTATTAAAGTATTGGACTAAAACAAGGAAGATCCAGAGACAAGTCTACCGTTAGCTATTGAATAGCTTCTGGCCAGTCAATCCCCCTCCTACCAGTGGTGGGATTCAAATATGTGAACAACCGGTTCTGTGTGGATGCGGGTTCTGGAAGTCCATTCTGGGCCTGGGCAACAAAAAATTAGCTACTGGTTCTGCCGAAGTGGTGCGAACTGGCTGAATCCCACCACTGCCTCCTACCAATTTGCTTCAAAGGGATCAAATGAAGAGATATCCCCCTGTAAGTCCCCTTAAACTCTTAGGCAGGATATAAATCTAAGAAAAATGTTGCCCTTGGACCAAAATACAGATTCTCCTCAGGCATACCTTGCAGAGAGTGATAAGTAAATCTAAAACTAATTAAATCTGAAGCTAATGTTTAGGTAACCCAAAGAGGTTCGTTCACTGGGAATGAAGGAAACAGATGGTTAAAGATCATGCTAGTTGATTCATAGAAATGACAACTGACAATACTACAGGGTTATCAGGTTGATGAAAACATAATTACATGAACCAATAAGGGCCCCTCCTAAAGAGTCTAGAGGGTTATATTCTTTTTTAAATTTGCTCCTAGACCTTGGCATTTGTGGGAAAGATGTTGATAGCTAAACCGGTTTGTGCAGTAATGCATGCCACATAATACCTTATATAAAATGAACGCCGCATTCCAACAAATCAACTTCACATTGAATTCTAAAATTAGCTAGTCTCACAAAATGCTGGTAGAGACAGAAGAAAGTAGAAAGCAAAAACCCAAGGGTTTTTTTATGGTAAATTTATTTCCTGCATTAATAACAGTGATTCAAATGAAGAAGCTCCTAACAAATTTTCTTATTAAATGCACAGGTATTGACATTCTGTATTCTGGCTCCCAGAAAGTTTTAAGTGCACCACCTGGTGCTTCTCCCATTTCTTTCAGCAACAGAGCCAGGTAAGGAGATTTGCCTATGAAACATATGATTTTCAAGTAGTCTATCTTTCTGGGACAAGACATACACTGAGTAAGAGAAATAAGAACATATTTATTTCATTATATCCACTGAGCACAAAGATATATTAGAAACACAATTGCCAGAACTGAACATATCTGGAAGGCAGCACCATGTAGATAGCTAGAGAAAACTTCCTCAGAGCTTTATACAAAAATAAAAGATAATCAGCAGCTTCCACAGCTATATGTCCAACCTATTCTACAGGCATGATGCTACAACAGAGAATCTTATTGCAACATGGTGACACAGAACCTATTGTGAAAAAAGAGCTAGTTTGGGGTAGTGGCTTAAGACAGCGGCCCCAACCTTTGGGGCCTGATGGCCTGGCTGGGGGAGAGAGGGTAACTGGGCCGGCACACGCATGCAGCCCTTACGCAAGGAGCAGGCCAGCACACACATGTGAATGCCCGCTGGCCTGCCCCCCCCCACAAGTTGAGTTGTTCATGTGTGCGCGTGCATTCCAGCCAACCACTTACGTGGCCCAATTCCAAATAGGCCATGGCCCAATAGTGGGCTGCAACCAGGGGTTGGGGACCCCTGGTTTAAAGCATCAGGGTAGAAACCAGGAGACCTTGAGTCTCACCGCTGCAGGAAGGCGGCAATGGCAAATCCATTGGTCTTAGCATCTAAATCTCAGAGTCCAAACATCATGCCTTTTTGTAAACCTTAAGCAAGCATTTTACCAATTAATAAAGCACCTCAGTACACAAAACAGTGTATCTGAAAATCTCAGGAGGTATAGTAGGAACATTCTATTTGATTGCATAGATTCTGTTTCCAAGACTGTCACAGATTTTAGCAGTTGCAGGCAGGTTTACAATTTTTGACTTTAACCTGCAGGGTTGTTTCCACTGAGTAATAATACTATGTTTCAAACTGTCCTTGGAAAATGTATTGTCCAAGCTCAGAATGCATACAAGTACACACATAACATAGATGCAGAGCAAGGTATATTCATTTTAAAATATTCATACAGCTTTTGCTTCCTGAATTAGCAGCAGTACCAAGGACCTACCCAAGAATTTATTTGTATCCCACCTTTCTTATTTTTATAAATACATCCAACACACCTTTCTCCTTCTATTTTCCCCACAACAATCCTGGGAGGAGGGTTGGGCTGAGAAACACAGCGACGGTCCCAAAGTCACCCAGCTGGCTTTCATGACTAAGGCAGGACTTGAACTCATAACCTCCTGGTTTCTAGCCTGGTGATTTAAAAACTAGACTAAACTGGCTCTCCTGCATGATATGAATGTTAAGAACTGGAATATACTGTATTATGTTAAATTGCTGGCAGTGGTACAATTACTGCATTTTCTCAGGAAACTTTCAGGTCCAAATGTTACAACCTTCTCCCCCACCGCCCCTCCCCCCATGTTTGACATGCAACTTTCAGACATATATTAAGTGCTGAACATAGCAAGAGCATTTACTAAAAACTCCCTTTTTACAATCCTGTAATCCCTTAATTCGGTGTACAGTAGGGGCAACTGGATGAAGCTGAGTATTTACTGGCCGATACCTTTCCTGACCCCACAGGGTGTTCACAGATGATTTTTTTTCTTTGTGCCCTAGATGACAAACATATGCTGCTACCTAGGATTGAATGCTCAACCTTCCAAGTGGAAGGCGAGCATCTTCACCACTAGGCCACCACGGCACTCAGCACAGACCATATACTATGAACCATTTAAAAATAAATAAATGATAGACAATGGCTCCACTTTGAGGGTGAATTTCCTGAAGCGCTAATCAAAAATTTTCATCTTGCCAGAAAGAAGATTCATACTAGGAAAACAAAACCAATTTCCTTTTACCTGGATGTGGAAGAGCTATCTACATACTGGGGCTGCGATGGTAATCCAAGAAAGTGAGCATTTATATAGCTCTTCTACTTTGCTCTTGAGAAAATGGCTTTCTTGTTTCCTGGAACTGGTCTGGGAACTCATCTGTTATGTTGCCAAATGAGAAAATGTTAAATAATACCAGCATTTTGATTACAGGTAGTCCTTGACTTACAACAGTTTGTTTAATGACTGTTCAAAGTTCAACGGCACTGAAAAAAGTGATGACCATTTTTCACAGGACCTTTGCAGCGTTCCCATGATCATATGATCAAAATTCAGATGCTTGGCAACTGGTTTATATTTATGATTATGTCCCAAGCTCATGAGATCACCTTTTGTGATCTTCTGACAAGCAAAGTCAATGGGGAAGCCAGATTCATTTAACAACCAGGTTACTAACTTATCAGCTGCAGTGATTCACTTAACAACTGATGCAAGAAAGACTGTAAAATGGGGCAAAACACACTTAACAAATATCCTGCTTAACAACAGAAATTTTGGGCTCAACTGTGGTCGTAAATCAAGGACTACCTGTCTATCGTGAGAATGCAGGAAATGATTTTATAGAGCTAAATAATCAAAAGCTTTGATCTCTCAGTCCTGCCTTTCTTCACATTTTCAAAGCAGTCTCCCTTGTTTTGCCTTGAAAATGTGCAAGTTGCATGACTCAGCTTCACATTTTTAATTCTTAAATTATGATTCTTGGAGTCTTCCTTTGGCTATGAAAGCTCTTTAGTTGAATTTTAGTTAAACAACCCAACCTACCTCAGAGGCCAATTGCTATGGGAAAAGAGGAAGGAAGAGTGTTATGTGAATGATCTCAAGATTCTGAAGGAGAGGCAGAATATAAATCTAATGAAAAAAATCACCAACAAACAAAGAAATATCTGTTTAACTGTGACTTTATATATTTAATTGACTTAAAATTGTTCTACTTTCATTCCTAGTCTTGTTTTAAAATTAAAACTGGCAACAGAAAAGATTATAGCTGGAATCTCTTCATTTGTTTCTGTATAAGCTGCTAGATGTATTATATGCTGTTTTTTACAGGTATCATCATACTGCACCTATCAGCACATTCTTCTGCTTGCGAGAAGCTTTGGCAATTTTCGCAGAAAAGGTCAGTTGCTGCAGGCACTCTATAATATTGAAAATAGTATTTTTTTAAAAAGAAAATGTTACTATTTTATACACACACACATTGGTGTATACATCTGTAACATACTGTGGGAAGTCAGAGCCCCAGAGAAGGAAATATTAAAAGGGCAGAAATATATATTTCCTCAAAAGTATTTTAAAAAAGCAGAAACCAACTTTGGCTCCAAATCTCTCTGCCCCAAGCAAGACCTAACCCATACAAATGCAGATGTAAAACCATTAGAAAGTTGAAGCCAGAGCAATCAAGAAGACAAAGAGAAAATCTGNACAGATATCAAGGCCTAGAAAAACACTCAGAAATAGCCTCAAAGTTCATGCCACAGGAACAGGAAACTATTCCAAACAGGGCTAGAGGGGGTATAAAAAACCTTCTACCCATGTGCTCACTCTCTTTCTTCTCCTCTGCTCCTTCTTGCAAGGACCATCTTTCTTCTGCAATAAACTGTAACCTTCTTCCCAAAGCAGTAGCCATGTTTGCTTATTTATTCCCGGCTTGGATGAACCAGGATGAAGACTTACTTCTAACAATACTTAATCCTACTTAAGCGGGCAGTTCAAGCTGGTGGTCATTCCCCAGGGTTTGGTCATCTCCTTTATATTATTTAATATCTATATGAAACTGCTGGGATAGGTTATCAATTGGTTCAGAATGAAGTATCATAAATATGCAGATACCAGTTCACATCACCACCCTGGGTTGAACTGCAGTGACTCTAGAAATCTTGAACTGGCACCCCGAGGCTATATATCTGATTGTGGTAAAATAAAGTCCTTGCAGTGCAGCACTGAGTTATATTAGGCAAAGTGTTGCCAAAATAGAATCTATCTCTTTTGTGAACATTTAGGGTCAGTTAAGGTTCATCGGGGCAGGGGTGGAAATGCTGCAAATGTTTGGAAGCTGTTATTTCTGCCAAATTTTTACTAAGTACTTACTGAATGGCTACTTTGAGTCTGTAAACAATGGTACGTGAATATTATGTATTCAAATATATGGAAAGATGTTGTGCTTAACTTTGTACCATAGAGGCTGTATTACCTATAGTTCACTTATAGAATTTGACCAGAGGTGCTTGCATTTTTTTACATACAAATGTGTTAGCAAGGTTACTGTTTCCCCAGTCACAACATGTGGTCATGAAACAAAATGGCTATCTTTGAATTCTGGTAGCACAGGCTGCATAAAGAATGACTTCAATCAATACTGGATGAAATCAATTCAGATTGACATCAGTAATACAGTTAAAACTTAAATATTCTGGACATAGGCAAAAGAATGAATCATGAAGACAAATTCCTAAGGCTGGGAAAAAATTTAAGGCAGTTAAATAAGAGCCAATAGAAGACAAAGTGGCTAGAACGATCTATGATCACTTATAACGTAAGGAACAAATTTCTGGGAGACAGTCCAGGCAAAATTATGTCCATCACATCCTTAAGATTGGAAACTTAACTGAACAACAAAATGCATAACATAAATATATTTTTAGGTTTTTTATTTTTTTTTTGTATATAGGAAAATAAATATTTTCATTTTCTACAGGGACTAGAGACATCCTGGAAGCTTCATAAAGAAAACAGCCTCTATCTCTGTGCAGGACTGCAGAAGTTAGGTCTCAAACCCTTTGTGAAAGAACCAGTAAGAATGAAATTAATCACAAATGTAGCATATGGATCAAACTAATTACTCATTATGAAGTTTTATACGTGGAAGACTGTTTAGGGTAAATTTAGATAACTGAGAAAGTAGATAATAAATTGATTGCTACGAAGACAAAATCAAAAATGGAAATCAGAATTAAATCCTTGCCTCGAATACTGTTTCTACCCATACTTGTTTACATAGCAGACTAGAAAAAAACCCTACATTTTTCCAGACTTTAAGCCAGAGAAAAGAGATCATACTGGAGGTATGAATACTTATTCCACTTTCACATCTTGAAAATAATTTTTTGTATGGTGGCAAAACCTGATCCAAAAGTGTATAAATATATGCACGCTATTTTCTGAATTTACCCATTCATTAATATAGAATTGGTTACTTTTGCTAAGAGGCTTCTCAAAAGTGAGCGTGGGAAACAGACATAAAGCCAGAACTAAAGAATAAATTTCCTTTTAATACTATTGCTACAATTTCCTTCAAATTCTGGAGATAAAGTATTATTCAAATACCCAAACCACCTGAATGGCTGTTTTGCTTTCTTTCTTTTCTAAGGATGCAAGACTTCCAACAGTCAACACTATCTTTGTGCCCGAGGGATATGATTGGAAGGAAATAACTGAATATATTATGAAAAATCATGAGATTGAGGTGTCTGGAGGCCTGGGTCCTTTAGCAGGCAAGGTAAATACAGGGTCATGGAGAGAAAATAGTGAATCAGATGTGGTTGCCTGGTTCCTGAAGAATAATACTTTATAAAGGTTGCATTAAACAGATTGAACTATTAATTACAAATGATATAGCCCAAAGATTTAACATTAATGGTATGGCAAAGGCTGTAAGTTCATCTTGTCTGTGAAAAAACGGCATGTTCTTTAGAATATAGCAATCTTTCTGATGTTGAGATTTTCTCTATAAACAATGAAGAAGCTTAAAGCATATTACCTCAAACCATTTCTGTGATTTAAGAGTCTCAAAGATTATCAAATAATAAAGTATCTAATAATCTGTAGCCTGTATGAAACAGCATGTTAGTACCTGAATTTAGTACGAGAGAAATTATTATACATATATAATAAAAATTATAAATATTATTCTAGTGTACAGGTAAAATTAAGGGAAGAGGTGGCTGGAGTTTTCCAGACAGTCACAAAACACTTACTTAAATGTTTTTTTATCATCAGGTTCTTCGCATTGGACTGATGGGCTATAACTCCACTAAACCCAACGTTGACAGAGTCCTCCAAGCCATGGGAGAGGCCCTCCAGCACTGTCTCAAGAACAAACTCTGAGTTCCTTCTTTTCACTTTCTCATTCTTCAATCTGCTTTGTGTAGAGGCAGCCAACCAACTGTTCTCTTCTACAGTTCATTTGTCAAGAGAGCAGAGTTAATGAACCAAGGTACTGGAGAAGCTTTCTACACAAGTTTCTTAATTGCATAATTCAAAAATACATATGTAGCTACAGGTTACATTTTACACAAGGATAAAAATCTGTTTTCATTTCAATTAATTTTTACTCACTAATGTAATCAAATTATATTCAAATTACTAAATGGGATTTGGCTTGTTGTCATTCCTTTTGCATCTCTGCACTGAATGTATAGTCTTGTGCAAAGTGGCTAATGTTTACATCATAGACACTTTGAATAGCATGCAGGTGTATCTATACCAATTTTTATTTTTCCTATTATAGCTTCCTGTTTTTGATTGTGATACTGACTCTTCTAAACTTGAGTAAATTATTATTGGAAATTGTTGTACATGCAATACTGAGATACACCTCTTTCAGCTATAAGTTATAAGTATGGAAAGCCACCATTGTGACCGAATGAGTGACACCAATGGAGTTAACTTGGAAAGATAACTTGGAAATCATCTGCCCAGCCAGACTCTCTTGTTATTCAGAAAGCAGACTAAGTTTGAATCACTCAGTGGTTCATTCCCCATATCACCTCCTGCTTCTAGAAATTTTGCAATGATAGAACAGTTTCTAAACAACTATATGGCATTTGTCATAATATTTTAAAAAATATTTTAAACTGTATCTGAATATTCAAAAGTAAAAAGAACCTGGGAATAAGAATTATGATAAACATCATCCAGCAAACTTACATTAGATAACATTCCATATAAGTTACAACAAAATGCTGCCAAAGAAAGAATGTTTTTCATTTATTAAATATGTAGTTTTATTACTCTCCAGTACCAACTTAAACATTTTCATTTTTTAAAAAGTCCAAAAAACTTTGAAAGAATAGAAGGGCATAGTTTCCCTTGAAATCCTGGTGATTACATGTTCTTACTGAAATTGAAATTTTATTTATAACCAGTGACCAGCAAATTAACTACAATTAAAACAATCTGTACATAGAAGCATGTTCAAAATACAGTAAGAGCGATAAAATCACCAAATGGATGTGCCAGTTAAAATTTGCAAAAAAAAAAAAAAGAGAGAGAGACTAAGCAAAATGAAATAAAGACACGCCTAAAGACTTCTTAGTGACAGCATTACAAGATTTGAGCTTTGTTATGGCAATAATTGCTGATAAAAACATGGCATTCTGTTCATAATCTCAGGCTTCTGGTCTGGGAACAGAAAATATGCCATGTTCCCTCATGGAAAACATGATCTCTACTAAAGAATAGTACAGACACAATAGCATGTAAGTTGCATAGAAGGGACAGTGAAGAAATATATACAACCTCATTCTGATCACAGGGCCAATTTCTCCCAATGAATGAAATTTTATAAAATCTGGGATCCTATATTGCCCTGAAGTGAGCCAAGGAAAAGGCTCTGTAGTGTGCTAAGTAGGCTACATTGAACAGGGTGTTCACAGGTCAAAAAGGTTTCCAAGGAGGAACTCACTCCTGTAGATTGTAGCGCTTAAGTCTGTCTGGTATGTGATGCTGAAGATTCTTTGATGAATCTTGGCTTTTACTTTCTCTAGGTGTAGAAATAGCAAAAAGCAGATACAAAATTGCAGTAACACTGGTGACCTAAGATACTTACCATCCATCTTGATGCACAGTCTTCAAGGAGAATTCGTGGGGCTAATGGGTCGTGGGAAAAAAGTTTGTAGTCATATTGCTGTTGGGTTTTTTTGCAACAGTTTGTCATACTGCCATGCTTTCTTCTGGGATATTCTTTTCAAATTCTCATCCTAGAATTTTATGCATGGTCTCCAACAATGCATAGCATTTTTTTAAGGCTAACCAAGGCTGATTAGTGTTGCTACACTAATAACATCTCTATTGCAGTCAAGAAAATCAAATTGACAAACAAAAGTCAAAAACCAACTTCAATCTGAAGTTTCACCTTACTTTAAAGATGCATTTATTAGGGCTAAAGAGTGGCAGTACTTTTTAGGGTGTTATCGATAAGATAAACACATCAATTCCCATGGTACCTATACTTTCCTTTATTTACTGTAACAGTTCTTATATTTTCTGACATGCACCAGAAAATAATTGCACATGCCACAAACAATAACAGCTTGATTGTACTATCTTGAATTCTTCAAAAAAGAAAAGAAAAGAAAAGAAATGTGCAAAATGGTGTAGACATGTTCTGTGTACCTATCTTGGAGTGATTTGTGCTCACATTGAAACATGCGTGTTTGGGCCAGAATGGAACAAGACTGTTTTTATTCCGCTGAAACACAACTGTTCAACTCAGTATTTGGAAGAGAAAAATGAGAAAAAAACCAAGAACATTAGCCATGGCTGAGGGAGGCAGGGAAGGGAAGTAATGGGAAGTTTTGGGAGGTAAACGCTGGTGGGCTATGTCATGCTAGGAACACCTGAGGAGAGAGAAGGCAATTGTTATATCCATCAGTATTGTCCTACTTGCTCGGGTTTCCTGCTAGTTTTGATTCAGCTGAAATCTGGGACAAAAATGATTAAAAAAATTATGTAGAATGTAGAACACACACTGAGAATAGAGTACGTATTAAACAGCACAAAACAATATAGAAATAAAAGAAAATACAAAAATTTAATTGACTACTGTTGAAAATATCAAGATGACTTTAATTTAATTCAAGTTAGGTTCTATTCTCTTTGCAAAATATTTCAAAGGGAAGTTAACTTGATCGTACATAAATGTAGCCAAAGACAGTATTCCTGAAATGTCTTGAATCCCAAGGAAGAGGAAATAGAGATGGACTGAAGTATCTTTTCTTTTTGTTTCTTTATCCTCCTTGGGAAATTAAATGCTGGTTTCATTAAGAGCAAATCAACAGTTTTACATTTTTAAGACTGATGTCCCCTTTCCCACCGTAGTCAAAAGGCTGAACATCTGTAATATTTTCCCACTTAACAGGAATTAAAAAACCTAATTATGAGCAATATATGGCAATTTTCAACTTATATTACAAGAATGTAATTTAATATTATTGTCCCAGAAAGACATAATCTTATGCGTCATTATATGGCTATGTATGACTGTTAAATTATTCAGAATTAGCCAGAAGCAAGTATACCAGCATCTGAACTGATTAAGAAAGGCACTGCTGCATTGATTAATATTCCTAGACTCCATCATATTTGTTCTAAACTAAATTAATCAAGAAAACCATATACAAAGCAGAATAACTCAATCACTGTTTAGCCTCAATTATAAATGGCATTCTGATTTTGCCTTTTGCCTCTTCCATTTCCAAGTCTTAACTTCATAGCTTTTAAATTTTTAATTCTTGCAATTTGTCTTGTTTTCAACTAAATAGACTAGAATATTTTGGGCTCATATCCAGCTTCTTCAAAATAAATCATTTATCTATCTGCTTTCTAAAGCATTTGGGGTACGGCTTATTCATGTAAGTACAATATCACAAAGAAGACACAAACAACAGGGAAGGGATTACTGAAGTAAGAGTTAAGGATAGAAAAGATAAAGTGTAGAAAACAGAACAGACAGAGTACGATGAACTTTACTACGTTAAACAAAAGCTGGTGCAGAATAAAGAAGAACATTTACCCTATGTATATTAAATTTTTAAATCAACCCTGAAAATAAGAGGCAAATGCTCAGAAACTTAAATTCATTCATTACTGAGCCATTCTCAACAAAAGAATTAAGAGAAAACATTTTAAAAAGTTATTATTCTTATTTTGACAAGTCATAAGGCGGGCTTGGTACAAGTTCATTTATCATATTCTTTAAAAGAGAATATTAGAATTAGAAAATGAACCTTATTTTTGTTAGAACAGTCAGCTTCCTAAAAGGATGTAGCTGAATGTGCACAGATCCATGCCTACAATATAACCTTTGAATGAAGACTTAAAAATATATATAAATAGGGCCAAGCAATTTTAAATAATATTATCCGATAAAAGGACATTTGTTTTTTTATTTACAGTGTTTGTACATATTTATAGCAACATCAAAAATATTCACAATGCAAAGTGCAAAATGTCACTTCGTTATCACTTACCATCTTAATATTTCATCCATTCACCTTGCCCACCCCCATTATCCAGATTGTCTTAGCATAGTTTATATCTTCCTTCCATATACATAGCCACTCTAAAAGAAATCTTCAAATGTATAGCTGAAAATTTGCATATCCCAGCTATATTCAACACAGGTTTAAGCATATCTATATCTCAAAATCAAAGGATATGCATATGTGTAAATGGAGTCATTCCACAGAATTGGAAGTGCCTGTGTAATAATAATAATTCAGAGTGCAAAAGCAGTGGTCAAGATAAAGAAGCACTCCCTAGCCTTTCTCACAGGGAATGGATTCAGATAATGCTGTCAAGAAAGTGATTTTTCTCAGTATTATTAAGGCTACAACCAATTGATGACTTGAGGCTTTACTTCTAAAATATTAACTAGCAGGAGAGCGCATTATGCATACCTGCAGAAGTCTGAACCCAATAAGCTTGTAGCAATAACAGTGAGAAATAATTTCACCTATTACATTCCCTGAATTGCTATGACTTGCCTTTCAGAGTAAAAGAAAACATGAAAACCATATATAAAAACTCTAGCTTTATTTTTGCAGTCTCCCTCCAGCTTATTAACAGTTCCAGCCGAGGCACAAGCTCTAAAAGTTGCTTTGATATAATGCAAAGTGTCTAGGCAGCAGAATATTTATTAACTATAAATAAATGTTTGGGATGACTGAAACTAGTGAGTGAAATGAGACACTCAATTTCTGACTGGCGCTCTTGTCCCTTGACACCAATACCTGTGGGCTTAAGACCACAGGAAACTTACTTGGTAAACAACAAGGTATGAGGCAGAGATTACAAAATGATATAAAAAACTCATCTTAACATTGTTCTTCTCTGCTGCAGGAATAACCTATTCCTCTACCATGTATATGTGATAAAAATGTATTTTTAAAATATTTAAGGTCTGATTTACATCCAGATTTTTTATGGGGATGCCTACAATTTTTCTAAGAGCGTACTTCCAACCAGCAGTCAATTCTTTTACTTAAATCAATTCACTCTTACGATTTCACGTTATGTAAAAGTAACACAGTTTATAATAAATATAAGTTTCCAAAGCAGCATTGTATCTGCATGGGGAAGTCTAGTTTTGTTGCTGGAAAATTCCAGTAGGTATAATTTCCACAATTCCAATTTTGGTATCATTTATGTGTACTGAAAAAAAATCCATTTGGGGATCTTGGAATTCTGCTTTCTTTAATCCAAGGAGCTGTCACTAGTAACAAGTGGCAGTAAGAGGCAAGCATAAATCACATTGCATCTGTTACCTGTCATATACGTATCTTTTTGTTTCAAAAGAGGAAATACAGGTACATTAAGCTGAGGTTTAACAAATGCATATATTTTACTTAAAAACATTCATCTGATCAAAATAAACTTCATGGGACAAAACTGTTATTAAATAACATTTCAATTCAAATTGTATATAATTTTTTAAAGTTTTCATACAGCAAACAATGGTTCACCCTTGAAAATCTGTAGAAAAAAATCACACACACATACACACACGGAGGGGGGAAAAAAGAAAAAGAAAAAGCTCTGAGGTATCACACCCACCCAGACACAGCCTTACATCAGCTGTGGTATAAGCAGAATATTGTAGGCCCAAAGAAAAAAGACTACTGATTGTTCGAGTAGAAGTCAGGTAGTTCAGACAAAAATATCCCAGAACAGGTATCTGAATAGAGGAACTACCTCAATAAAGTCCTCAAGTGCATTGGAGACCTGATCACTTAAACTGCTCCTGCCAAGCAGCTCCCTGCACCTGAGACAAATGCAGCCCAAGGTGCCTTGTGCAAAAGGTAAGGAAATTAGGTGCAGCTATTTCCCATTATTCCTTACTATATAGCTTTGAAAATTATATGAAAGTTCAACTTCTCTTTCATCACGCAAGGTACTGCTGGAGTGCTGTTTTCGCCCTGCAATGAAAAGCATTTTTTAATTTTAGAGGATATACATAAATGGGGATTTCAGAAATGCTACCATGCAAGGAATAAACTATAGCACATTGAAAACTGGATACATGAAGTTCAGTAACTGAACATCGCAAAACAAATCTGCTTGCAATTTTACTACAAGGTTCTTTGTACTTAGAATCAGCCTATTCCTTTTCTATTTATAATTTCTCAAGCAGCTTTCACGTAAGAGTGCATGCATTTTACAACTTTTGAGAACCCTAAAACAGGTATCTATCTTGGATTGAACCTGACTGAAATGAGCAGCATGTGAAAATACAAAGATATTTCAGTCAGATATAATAATTGGGGAGGGGAAATATTAAATGAGATATCTCTACAAATGTAAACTTTTGCTTGCCCTTTAAGTGAAGTACTGCCATGCTCTCTACATGGGGCTGCCCTTGAGGAGCATCCAAAAGCTGCAGCTCATTTAAAATGCACTTATGCAGTCAGTTATAAACACCCCTCAATATACACACATCACACCTCTCCTCCATGAGCTGCATTTGCTATCAATATGTTTCTGGATACAATTCAAAATGCTGCTATAAAGCCATTCGTGCCATGGGGCATTTATTAGGATATTTGCAGAAGTGCCTTTCTCCAATCATACCATCAATCTGGCAGAAAAGACATTGTATGAGGCCCTTCAATTAAGATGCGCCATCTTGTGGGACCCAAAAAGTTAGCCTTTTTGTTCTGCTCATTGGAACACCTTTGCCCCAGATATTAGATTGCCCTAACCTTGCCAACCTGAAAGTCCTGAGGCACAAAGGTCAGGTTGTCAATATGAGCCTGTGAAATAGGTTTTTTTTTTGTTATCTAATTAGTTTTTTTATCTTGGCAATTGGTTCATTATGTTCTGGGATATTATTGTTGCCTTTGTTTAAACTTTAGTTATCCAGAATCATGCATAACATAAACAAATCAAGCATAGGAGATTTCTCACACAAACACTAAGCCACCCTAAAAAATTGGGACAATTGCAGGGGAGAAAAAAAAACACAGAATGCAAGGAGAAACAGAACTCATATACAACTCAAATCAATATACAGAAAATCTAATAACAAAGTGATCAAATTCATTTCAATTTGATTTTGGAATTTGTTTACTTACTTTTCACAAAGATTTGGATCTGACGACTGACTCAGTTTATGTAGAATATCTACTATTCCAATATCTCTGAGTTTATCCTGGCGATCTTGGGAACCTAATATAAAATAATTGCATGTTGGTAACTGATGCATTTTATGTCTCTTGCCCAGACTGTTAAATAGTGGCAAGGCAAATACACAATGCAATGTAAAAGCCTGCAGAAACACCTGAAATGAATATGGGTAGATTTCAGATACGTCTTTCTCACTTTGCCAGGTCTTGGTCACCCATACCAGCTCTGCTTTTTTTTCTACACAAGTTGTGAAGGATCACAGTCTTATTACAAACAGACCGGGCATTCAAGAATTTCCATAAAAAGCTTCTAATTTACATTCAACAGAGAGATAGGTTCATATTATTCAGGATAAGTTGAATCTTTTCCTACTTTTTAGATTAAAGAAATAAAAGCTTTTTCATGTGGTTGAAACTTGTTCATTACATGAGAACGGTTTAGTCAAAATTTCTTGAAAAAATGTTAACTGCATAAAATATCTGAATAAAATCTGAATATCTGAATAAAAAGTTCCTGGAGCTTTACTCAATTTCATTTTTTAAGTTGACTTTCAACTATATCTTCTGGGGGAAAAAACCCTTATTCTATAAATTTTTAAGGAAGTACTCTTTTCAAATATTCTTCAATTTTTTCTGGGTTATATTCCTATTTGTTATATAATTTCATATAAAAATTAACATTGCAGACTCATATCATTCATTGGAGATATTTAGTTCTGTTCCAAATAGAAGTAATAATTGTTTTGTTTGATTCCTTCCATAATTGCTAAATTAATAATTTGGCTGATTTCCTGCCCTTTTCAGGAAATTTAATATTTTTATGTACTAAAGTTCAATTTTCATAAATTCAATTGGGGGAAATATAGAATTTTATCAATTGGAGCATAAAATGAACCAATGGTTTACATTTCTAAATTCAGTCTAAAATACAGTATTATGAATCAACCTTTCTCACCCTTAATTTGTATTTTTGATTACCATAGTATGCTTTTTCACATTTATGGCTATTCCATTTTTTGATCTGCCCAAAGTCATGAATGGACAAAAATGTCTAACTATTCAACTTTTATGCACTAGAAATTGCTCTTTTCATTTTTTTCCAGGTAATTCCTTTTCACTCAAAGGGAATCATATAGCAAATTCACTTCACCTGTCTTTTAATGTAGTGATTTTCCCTGGATGGAAAAAATGCATTCCATATGTTCAACTGTTAAATACAATTTCATTTTAAAATTAAGCATTTCAGAAGATAAATCCCTTGAGTATATCTTACCTTCTTCTTCATTCCATATAAGATTAGATACACAAAACATGGCAGCCAGTTGAAGTTTAGCATTTGAGTGGCTCTAAGCAGACAAAAAATATTTAGACAGAAATATTTTAAGTTAGTAAAATCAAATCCCTTTTGAAGTTGACTCTTTGACTTCACAGAACCATGTAATGTTATTGGCAAAAGTATGGATCTAGTTTACTATTGCTTTCTTTTGTTACCCTGGCAAATCTAGTTAATACTTGGAAAAGAAGCTACAGCCTTGATTATAAAAACAAAACCAACAACAAGCACATTCTGGCAGACATCAATAGCAAACCAGTTCCATATTGTTGCCAAGAGACATATGTCAGGAACTCAAGTGAAAATTTACATTTCTTTCTTAACCTTTATGTAATCTAGGTTTCTTGCCTCCAAATTATTACCCACAATAATGAAATATA